GGAGTGTGGCAACGGTGGTGATTAGGATGGCCGGTTTGCGAACAGGTCCACCAAAACATTTGGCCTAGGAGTGCTTTATGAGGGGCGATCGGCAGGACAGAAGCCTCTGCATGAAGTTGATCGGTAGGCGACATTTTATAGCTGCCCGTGATCGTGCGGAGTGCAGCGTTTTGTGCTGACTGAAGGCTGCGGAGGCTGGAAGTGCTGATGGTAGGAGACCAGATTGGTGCCGCACAATGAGGTAAGGCTTGGCCAGCGCTTTGGCTGAGCGCGTCAAAGGCTCTTTCAAGCAGTCCTAGGATGTGCTCGCTAGAGCCTTGAGGACCTTAGTGCAGCCGTTTTACTTCACCTGCAATTTACATGGCCTAGTACGCGAACGTGAAAGGAAGATCGAAAAGTACGCTAAGGAGTTTGGGCTAACGGACGAGCAATAAGGACACATCGTTGACGATAATGGCCGGGTGACAATGAACTCCTTCGTGTCCAGCGTGAAAACAGTGACAGATGACTTGGCTGCCGAAATCGTCAACCCGCGCTGGGTGAAGACGTTTTCGACCTCAGGCATGAACGCCGAGAAGAGCTGCACAGCCTGATCAATGTGGTGGTGCCGGCAGAAGAACGTAACATCATCCGCCTACGATAAAACTTGAAAAGGTGCCCGGGACAGTGGGAGATCTCGCATGTAGATGTTGAAGAGCGTCGTACTGAGCACCTAGCCTTGGCGAGCCCCGCAGGTCTGTTTGCGGGGCTCAAAGAGAGCACAGCGAAATAGAAAACGATCGTGGCGTCCACGGATGTAAGCCGCAAGCCATCGGACCAGGCCAGTTGAGAGGTTAAGGGAGACAAAGTCCTGCAGAAGTCTATCATGGCGAACGCAGTTGAAAGTGTATGAAAGGTCGATTGAGACTGCCACGCAGCGTGAAGCGGGCTTCTGTTGATTGAGGTCCTCGAGGATTGCGTCGCTGAGCTCGAAAGCCGCAGCTGTAGTTCCACAACCTGATCACAAAGCATGTTGATGTCAAGATTATTTCGCCGCGGACGTCAGAATTGAGTGAATGAGCCGTTCAGGATCTTTGCCAGTGGATTGAGCAAGACAGTTAGGCGATAGGAGGTCGCTAGGGTGCGGTCCTTGCCCGCTTTGACCAGAGGGCTAATGAGTGCCTGGTGCAAGCAATCGGAAATGATTGAGTGAGCCAGCGAAAGTTTGAAAAGGGCAGCGAAGTAGGCAGCCACCGTAGGACCGATATGGCTTAGGTTGATAGGCGCCAGGCCATCTGGTCCTAAGGCTTTCAAAGCCATCGTTATCTTTACGGTGATGACGAAAGCATCAGCAGAAAAAGGAAATGTCCGAGAGTGGGGAATTATGGAGGATAAGAAGAAAG